TAGAGTTCCCACCGTAGAGTCTCATAGACTAGAGAAAAGGTTTCCCACCGGCACATTCCTGCATACCATTGCGGACTTCTCTGGGTGTTTTCATATGTAAGTAAGAGGTACCCGCCGGCAAATACTGCGTACAATTGCCGACTTCTTCTTGGGTGATTTTTCTTTCTGAGTGCCTTATTGGGTAGACTGGAGATCGACCACAATCGGCAAATTCCTGCATACAATTGCCCACTTCTGGTAGCCCATTTTTGCGTCTTCCCTCTTGGGTGATTTTTCTGTGAGTGTCGACTGCTGTAGACTACATAGAATTCAGTAGAGTTATTCAATGTCGTACGCGGAGAGTTTCTCTTACCTTCGTACAGAGCGTTGCGTGCGGCCTTTCCTACTTTCAATTCAATAACAAAAGTATTCTACGCATGCATACCAACTCCACGCACCAACTCCACAAAACAAACGCCTCCGTCATCTCTTCTCCGCTCGCACACTTGACATCGCATTCAGCCTAAAGCGGAGCGGCGGGGCGCATCAGCGCACCCGCCGCGGAGCCCCTTGTATATACTCTCTTCTGCCATTCGTCAGTTGAATACGGGGCACCCCCCGCAAAAACACTACTGTTGCGTGCCCCCCTACACTTCCGAAATCGGCACACAACTCCCCCCCATCATCAAGAGAAGACAGCCTGGCCCACACACGTAAGCATGCGTAAGAGTTTTGCATCACTAAGGGTGAAGCCGGAGGTTAATGTCGTGGGTTGTGTTATTTCGCTGTAATGTTGAAATTCGCGAAGGAGCTGATCAGCGGCGCATTTTTGCCTCTGGTCGGCCCCCTCTGCCTCCCGTGTGCCCACACCGCTACACAGCACACACAGCGGTATGCCCCCCCCCCCCTCTCCCATCTCTCCCTCTCTTTCTTGAGTGCGCTCTCTCTACCCGTTTTGTTCACACGCTCTCCCGCTGCTCGTCTGTCTCCTGTCGCACAGAGGACAAGATACCCAGTGCAGCGAGGAGGGCGCGGAGAGCAGCAAGAGCAGCGAGGACGACTATAGCAGCGAGGACGCTGAGAGCAGCGAGGACAGTTAGGTAAGAGACCGGACTCTAGCCTTCTGAGACTAACCTCTCGTCAAGGCTTACACACCAGCTTGCACGCTAAGTGTTCCGCCTCTAACATCCCCGACAAGAGAAGCGGTGACGCTTATGCGTTTTTCCGTTGGACTTTCGTTTGGTCCCACATCCAAAGTCGCGGATGAATAATAGGAGCGTTTGTATTGGTGCTCGACTCGGAAGGTAGGAAGTATCGAGGCTTCAGCGCCGACGTCGCGGGTGTGATTGATTTGTGGGCAATATCCAACATTTTTCTTCTTTCCGGGTTGTCACAGATAGCTACTTCGGCGCCGAGGTCGCGTGTGTGACTGATGTGTGGGCAATATCCCAAATCCAACAGTTCTTTTATCTTCCGGGTTGTCACAGATAGCTACTTCGGCGCCGAGGTCGCGTGTGTGACTGATGTGTGGGCAATATCCCAAATCCAACAGTTCTTTTATCTTCCGGGTTGTCACAAATGGCTACTTCAACGTGTGTGATCGATGCGTGGGCAGTATCCCAAATCCATCAATTTTTCTCTTTTCTTCCGGGTTGTCACAGATGGCTACTTCAGCGCCGAGGTTCGCGTGTGTGATTGATGTGTGGGCAATATCCCAAATCCAACAGTTCTTTTATCTTCCGGGTTGTCACAAATGGCTACTTCAGCGCCGAGGTTCGCGTGTGTGATTGATGTGTGGGCAATATCCCAAATCCAACAAGTGTTCTCCTTTCTTCCGGGTTGTCACAAATGGCTACTTCAGCGCCGAGGTCGCGTGTGAGATTGATGTGTGGGCATTCCCAGACTTGGATTTTTCAAAACCATTTTGTGTTGTGTGTTGTACTATATGACTCTTCGTGGTTTGGTGGCATTTCGAATACAGAGCAGTTGTTTATCCACATGGTTAACGCTCCGATCTCCGCCCATCACGTGTAAAGTATTATTTGCTCGTCCGTGGAACCGAGGCCTTCTGTGGTTGTTCGGTGGACCATGTAGGATGGCGTGCGGTGTACGCGGAAACGGTTCAAGCACGCAAAGCATGCAAATGTCGACCCCCCCCCCTGGTGCATGAATCCCCACCGTCACAATGCTTTGCACGTAGGTGTCTACGTAGACTCCACTTCGATATATTAAACGGTTCTTGATGTCCGACTGCCCCAGGAATCCCATCTTTGCCTTGCGGAGAAAAATGCTTTCAGAGGACCACACGACTAAGCGCAGACGGTACCGCGTTCCCCCCCCGGCTGCTGACTTTACTTCGCCCGGTCTCTGCACAGGTGCCGGACTTCATCCTCGCGGTCGAAGAATGGAGCGTCATCGGTAACGCACGAAACAACATGGTACGGCAACGATTCAAGGACGAAGCGAAGCACAAGCGGGAAGTCCAAGTGAGCTCGAGTTGAAATGTTTGCTTGTCTCCCCTCTTTATTCGATGCGCCGAGGGTTCGATTCGAGTTGCATTATCTGTGTATAATTATGAACGGTCTATAACTTCACGAAGCTATTTCTCCCGCATTTCTCCGATTTCGTTTCAAAACACCACAGACGTGCCCACTGCAAGCAAATAAACTCTTCAAGCCCCAAGAAGGGATCGACCTTCTCGACGCAGCGACCCCGCAGAAAGAAAGAGAATCTTGGAGATGTTGCAGAAGCAGCGGAACGAGAGCTGAGGTACTCCATCACACAGGGTATCAATAAAAGCTCGTTTGAAGAGAGGGTCTCTGCATGACACTTAAGCTGGTGTTTTTGTTTTCTGACAAGTTGAGTTCAAAAGAGGCAGAGCGAACCCCGCACTGGAAAAATATCGTCAAGCGTGCGATGTGTAGTGGTGCTGGGCTGCTTGTGAGTGACTTGTTTGAAGGGGATCTTCAAGTGCAGGCCGTAGAGTGGATGCAAGGCATGTATGCCGAGGTTCCGGACAATCTCACGTTGAACCGCCGCCTCTTCATGACCCCAAATTTTTTAAACAAGCCAGTAGACGAGGGTGTTGAGGGTGGGGAGGGGTAGGAGATGACGAGCAGCCTAGGTTTGAGGACGAGGTTGAGGACGAGGGTGTTGACGACGAACAGCTTAGGTGTGAAGAGATGGGCAGACTAGCTGAGATGGTCAAGGCATTGGAAAAGTGCGGAGATGCCGAATCCGTGCGGATTCTCCGACCAGATCTCTTTCGCACACGAAAGAGTCCAACGTTGGCCTATCGTCCAACATTTACTAACCCATACCCCGCGTGTGCGATCGAGTATGACCGAGAGTTGGTGTGGGATGCTCTCCGTGTGATATGCGATAGCAGGTTCACCGCCGCCTACCGAAAGGAATTGAAGGAAGGGTTAAGCACGCAGCCGAAGCCACCTAGCTCGAGCGATGAGAAGCAAGACGAGGACACAGCGCCGGTGAGTGACGTGGGAAGAGACGTTATTGTGCTTGGGGTTACACCATGCTATTGGTTGTTGTCGCAGCAGCATGATTCATAATTATTCTTGGATGCATAGATTGTCTTTGTGTTCCTGGTTTTCTGCAGGTCTTCTCGATCAAGTCTGACATTGCCAGTTGGGCTAAGCGCTTGGACACAGAGGGGAAGATGTAACAAGAGATGAAGGACCTGCAGGAGTTTGGTCTCTTTCAAGGGTGAGGTTGGGTGTTGTGGCTGTGTGTTTCTTTGTTCCGTCCCAAACCCTTTGGTAACGCTCACCTTGACTGACTCAGGAAATGCTTAAAGAGGCTGGAGGCTGAGGTGCTCGGGTGAAGGGCGAAGCTGAGCGAGCGTTCCACGCCTTCGCAGGCCAAGTACATGGACCTTGCCCGGAAGGTGTGTGTTTGCGTGTTCGGTGTTCTTTGTCGTCTGTTGTCGTTGTCGTTGTTCCTGTTCGGTGATGTTGTTGGATGTCACTTTTTCGTTGTTGGGTTTGAATCCCTCCCCGCTCTCATGAAGGTTCATGAAAGTGATGGCGAAATGGAAACGAGCGCCGTGTGAAGTGTCGGCCTTGATGGTGCCTCAGTGCCTCTGTTGAACTTGCATTGCTTTAGGAGCGGTTTTTCTCTGGTGAAGAATACCCGGTTTAGTTCAATGGAGAAAGCAAAAATTGCAAGCAACAAATTATGCCGAGCGCTAGAGCTGGAAAGATCGCCACCACACAACTTAATCCCTACGTCTAGCCTCAACCTTAACCTTGACCTTCCGAGACAAAGCGTTGAGATGCTGGGCGTTTGCAGTATCTATGGTGTCGTAGCACCGCGATTCAGCATACCCCGCATGTCCCCAGAAATATGCCCCAAAATGACAGCCCTGTGTTCTATCGAACATGCCCGTTCGAGGAATATAAAACCAGTAATATTAATCCGGCAAGGTAGAGACGATGCTGACGCCTAAAAAAACATTCAAACTCATCTTCAAGTATCTTCTGCTTGGCCAAACCGCAACATCCCGGGAACAAATAACTAACATAACACGAAAAAGGTGGAGGAAATGGAGCGACGCGAGGCCGAGCTCGAGCGTGTGCTGTCGGAGAGCCGGCAGCAGCCCAAGCTGGAGCTGTCGAGGCTGCAGACCATCCACGCCGACGAGATTCGCGCCAAGGACGCCCTCGTTCACGGCTTTAGGATCGACGTCGTCAGCCTGCCGCGGGCCGCCGGCAGCCTCATGAGCGGCGCGGCGGAGGCGGGCGGAGAAGGGGAGGGTGGAGGGGGACGGGGGGCACCGCCGCTGCCCCACCGGTTTGGGGGCTCATGCCTTGATGACCTCCATCTCTTTCGAGCTTTTTTTCTGTCTCTTTTTCGAGTCAGGGTGTGTGGTGTATATAGCTGTGTCTGTTTAGCAGAGTCCTCCGATAAGTTTAGGCGTTCATGCAGTGGTTGGCGGCGAATTGCGCTTTGCTGTTTATTGTGTGAGTAGTTTACAGGAGAGAGAACGCGTCCGTGTGAGTGTATTTAGTGGCGTCCAGTCGATAAGCTGAAGGGACAAGGCTGAAAGCCCGTTTTTCTGTTGGCTAGCCCTGCGGAGCATTGCACGTGGTGATGGTCATCTATGCATGTTGAGGGCACCACACAGCATCAATATATTGTAGTTTGTGTTGCAGGCAAGACAGTGGAGATGGTGTTCAACTTTATCCCCGTTTTCGCGCGTGCTTTCCAAGCTAGTGTTCATGTTTCCCTTTTTTCCCGCGTGCTCTCCAAGAGAGTGTCAATGTTTTAAGGAGCGTTTAAGGCTGCCTTTTTTTGCCGGGGGCGGTTGAAGCCACCGTATTTATGCGAGCGGCCATGGCATCCCGGCCCAATAGAAAAATATTCACGGAGCCTCTTGAGGGAGCGAGAGGGGGAGAGACGAGAGTTTCGAAGGCGAACAACGTTATCTACCACAGTGTAGTTTCAGATGATATGAGAGAGCAATTAACATCAGAAGGTTTTCAGACGTCCGCCGTCTCACAAAAGAAGGCAATCCTTTATCCACCTTCCATTCTACACATATCTGCGAGTATCAACGTGCTGAACGTTCTTCATCATACTCCCATGTATCAACGGCCGGCGTCTTCGTTGCAGTTCATGTTGGACGAGAAACGCTGGTTAATAAGATCATGATACATGATAGATGCTTCCCGACAGAACGATTTCAGTACATGTAGCTCCCGACGTGAAGTATATACAGCAGCCAACTCCCTCGCTATAAAGCAACAGAGACAAAGAAAACTCTATCCAGATCTAGATAGCTCGAGACAATCTCGAAAAAAAGGGGGGGGCTGTATGTGTGCACACACCCGCAGTAATCATCCACGAAACCCCCACGTTGCCCGGCGCCACCGTCACAGTTGAGTTTGCCGGTGGCTTTGCTACGCTCTCGTAGTTTCTGGCTTGCCTCTAACCAGGCATCTCAGATCTCAGGCACTCAGGCACCCAGCACCGCCTCAGGCAACCTCAATTGGCTCTCATTTGATTTTGGCCGGTGGCGTACCTCGAGCTCAATCAACAGCATGGCGCAAGTAGGAGAAGGACGTCAGGTCCCCACGAACGGTGAGAGTATTGTAGTATACACAAAAACCTGAGGTTTTTGGGCAAGTTCGATCAGGTGTTCCGGCCATCCTCGTTGCGCGGCGCTTTTCGACATCACGTAGCAGCGAGAAATGGTTTTGTCCTTCATGGCAATGAAACCTTTTTGCAGGAGAGAAATCCGAAAAAACCGCACACACATACACACACACACGTCACACACACCGATTGCTCGCCCTCCTGCTCACGGATCGCGACCTAGCTTTTAGGTTACCAAATCCATGTTTCTGAGCGTCGGTTATGCCAAACAGAGTTTATTTTGGTGGTTTGTGTGTCCAATGCGAGTAACCAACGGCCAGTCGGCTGGAAATCAGAAAAGCTTTTGCAGATGAGACTATTACCTGGAAATCTCATCCGAGAGGTTCTGAGGCGGTGAAAATGGTGCATGGCCCGAAAACACCCAACCAGATTGCTCGCCCTCCTGCTTGAGGATCGCTCTCTACCCTTGAGGTCATGAGCTCTACGTTGCTGAGCGTTACAACCCAAAGCAGAGTTGCTCGGGGTGGCCTTTGTGGCAAATGCGAAGAACCTCTCCTCGGGGTTGAGTTTTCCAATTTCAGCCAGTTTCAGCTCGAAGAATTTCCAGATGCTGTACAGGACGCAAACACCCGACAGCAACTCTCTACTGCCGTCATCCTCGGGTTACAGACGAGCCGGTCCCGACGTTGCGGACGTATTCATATCCCTTACAAGGGGTCGTGATGCACGCACACGGCGAAAGGTGGCCCAATATCCGCATGCAAGCTCACTGAACAGCTATCAAAAGTGTAAAAAGCCGTGGCTTGTCTACTTAATCTATGTACCAAATCTTGAAGATCTCGCTGTCCAGAAAAGAAAAAAGGAATCGCTGCAAGAAATATATGGAGGGAGAGATGCACTTAAGAAAGGTCTCCGGTGACTTCAGTGAGGATCAGAGTCATGATCACACACGGGCCCCCGCCTGCCAACACGCAAACTGCAGCACACCAGCCGTAGCATGGACGAACAGCAGATAGCAGAGTACTGGCAGCATTATGCGGGCGCATACAGTCCGGGAGACAACCCGCACACTCACACACACATCACCTCAGCGTCACCAGCAGGAACGCGGGCGGTATCATAGCTTATATTGGCAGGATATGGCTCGGAATACAAACCTCACTACTGTGATCCTCACTCAGACGTCGGTTTGTCACGAAAGGGTTGAGAGCATTTTCTTATCTGCGTAAGGCTTTCAGTGCGATGAAGGATTAAACCATTTCTCATCGACTTTCCAATTCGTAAGAACTGACCTTCGTCAAATGACCCAACCTTGGAATATGTCGAACCCTGGCTCACTCACGTACGTTTTCGTATCCGCCTTATTCCAGCATGCTTCTGCACCGATGGCGCGAGTTCGGTTTGTTCGCTCGCTACAGTCATGCGGGTGCGTCTCGGGGACGGGATAACGCGGGTCAAAGCCGGCACGAGACTCAACCACACAGCCGCGCTACCTTCCCGAGACTGGCATAATGTATTCAACCGTGACGGCAGCCAAAGACCCGCTCATCCACCAAATATTGCCACAGAGAAAGAGTGGGTGTTTGCTGGGCACCTTGATGGTATCGTGGAGACACGGGAAATAGTTCTAGACGGAAATGTAGAACTCGGAGACGCCGTGATTGTTTTTCAGGAAGGTTTGGCGCTGCCCACCAGGGAGCTTCTCCGAGTCATAAACACGGCACACGCCGTGCTGGTGCTGCGAGGAACCGACAAATACTTTTATCTCGGCGAAGACTTCGTGCTGTCTACGGACGAAGAAGAGGTGCTGGTGGAGTGGGGCGTAGGACGGTCGGTGCTCGCGAATTCTGTTCTCGCCGTAGGGGGAACACTGATGGTGGCGTTTGCCGAGAAGGTGTGGGGACCGGCGGTCGTGGGGACGCTTCTTGTGGCGGCGGTCGGGTACCGCGTCGAGGGCACTTTGACCACGGTGCTGAGAGTAAGGTCGGTCGCGTGGTCCGACAACAGGCTCGTTCCCAGCGGGATACACGGGGCGGAGCGGGCAGGCCAACTCGTGGTGGTGACGCTCGTGGCGATCGCCGACCTGCTGGACGACAGAAAGCTGCTGCTTGCGGCACTGACTTGCGCGTCGGTGCAAGTGATTTTGCTGGAATGTGCAGGCCTGGGAACTACCTGGAACTCAGCGATGTACCGCGTCTTGTTGATAGAGTTCGGGCTGTTTGTATTCGTTTGTGTGGTTTTGACGATGTGGTCGTGGTTTACCTACGTCTTTGCGGGCTACTTCGGCGTTGTTGTTTGTATGCTCCTATTGTTTGGTTTGTGTCTTTGTGTGTATGACCTGGGTGAGGAGTGCATTCGTGAACGTCTCGAAAGAATCACGAGACGATTCACCACAAGACAATCCTTCATATTCTTTTCACTCGTGACATGTGCAATGGTAATTTGGTACAGCGAGGCCACGGCAAGCGTAGATACGGAGGTTTCCGGGGAATCGCTGCAACCCTGGAGGTGGCCCTTGTTCCGTGCACCCGATTCTGTTGGAACGGGTTTGTATGTTATTGGCCTCTGGTTCGGCGCACTTGTATACTTCCCCCTGGTAGCGTGTTCAGTTGTCGGGTTGCTTTCATTCACCCTCAGCAGCGACAGGGTTAGGCCTGTGGGTGACAGGACCGATGCGCGTGACAGCTCTGGGAATTTCAGTCACTACCACGTATCGTCTACCCCGTCGAGAAATCTGCTCGTGTCGAACGTAGCAGGGCAGGCGGAGCCCGCGGGGTCCGTGGCGTCCACCGTGTGATCTAATTGATTTGGTTTGGTTTTTTTAACGTGTGTCAAGTACAAAATCCCAGAACGTATTTGTAAAAAATCAAACACAACACTAAATTTTGATTTGATTTGATGTGGGACAATTTTTTCCTTATGTAAAAGACAATTCTCCACAGCGGTGTAAAATATAGGGAAGTGGAGGCGACGCACCACACTCCCCAACGTCCTACGTTCCTAGTGAATGCTTTCGTTTGCTGCTGGCCTGCGTATTGTCGGGCAGACTGTGGGTTTCGGCACCGCTCGAACGATGGAAGAGATCACCTCGAATTCGGGGTGGTACGGCAAAACCCTGAAGTGGGCAGCCCCCGAAGGGCTCAACGACGAGCGCGTGGGGGCGGAAAGCGACGTCTTCAGTTACGGCGTGGTTGTCTGGGAGATCTTCAGCCGGTGCCTTGGCAAGACGCCTCTTGGTAAAAGTGTGTAGGGGGAAGCGTCCTCAAAGACCGGCCGAAGCACACCGCTGCTTGCGTCGTTTATGGCGCAGTGTTGGGCAGACATCCTTGAAGATCGAATTTCATTTGACCAGGTGCTAGCTCTGCTCAATACGGGGGGCAGCTACGTAGTGGTTTAGGCAATGATTCAGCCGAGAAACAAGGGAGTGCTGGGTGTTTTTTGTGGCACTTCGCCGGAAGACAAAGCGAAAAAACTACCAATTCGATAGGGTTCGGGCTAGGGCCCCCCTGCGGCGCACTGACATACAGAAGCCAGCATATTGCGCATCATTTGGGTCTCTATCGTCCTCAGTGCCATCTGTTCTGCCTGCACTGCCAGTGTGAAATGCAATAGAGGTGGTCTCTCGAAGGTTTGGGCAGGCGCGCGGGGAACGCAAGCATAAACTACATTTTTTGGGAGGGTACTCGAGTACCCACCCCGAGCGTTTCCACAAAAAAAAAGCTCTTCTACTGTAGCGAACACCGGTGCGCCGAAAAACAAAAAAAGACGCTGTCTGTATGGATGGGTTGCACAAGGGAGGGAACTCAATCTACGCTGACCGCTACGATTCAACCAGTGTTGTTAGCCAAAACTATCCAGTTCGTGCCCAATGGTGCAAAAGGCCTGGAAGTTCGCAATCTACCCTGTTTGATCGGTGGCTGCTTGGTTTGACAGGCGCGCCCAACGAGCACGGTTTTGAGTTACGTCGAGCACCTTAATGACATTGCCCTAGACTGCCGCGAAAATAATCTGAGGAGGTCCGCCACGTTGCACGGGAATAATCTTCATATGAACAGGTTGAAGCATGCTTTTTGGGTCGAGGGCGTGAAAGGCGCGGCAAGCAAAGCGGAGGAAATCAATCGATCGCAGGAGTCATACTGGAGCTTCGTTCGTCGTCTGCCGCCACTGCCTGATTTTGTTTTCGCGTTCAAGCGTTTCAAACGGCCGCGAGATTCACCACGAAAAGTAGAGACGTTGCAATCAGCAGGGTGTCCTACGAACGAGCAGTGGTGGGGAAGTTTGGAGTTGTAGGGGAGTGTACTGAAGTGTTGGGCAACAACTTACGAATTGCCGTCTAAAAAAAAGTAACCAAATAGTAACCCCGTTGGGTACAGAGTATCAGATTTTGGGACGTGTCGACCCACCCTTGTGTAGCTAGCTGTCTGGTGACGGGAGTAGAGTAAGGGTTGCTAGGTGATGGCTCGAGCGTGCTAGTGATTAATAAAGGTATCCTGTAATTTCGGGGAAGTGCATGAGGATACTCTAAGTTGAAAAAAGAGTGAGCTGTGGTTGTGAACGAGTAAGAGGAAAGTGATGCGGGAAGGGTGCTCCGGGTTGTCCCATCTCCAGAAGGGCGCCCAACAATGAATGGTTCTCGGTCACAGTCCTGGAACTGCTGGAACGGGCCACGGGACTGCCATAGTCCCGGAGGCACACAGAAGTCTTGTCGCAAGCTAACGCCGGTACGACTAAGGCGAAGACTATATCAACTACGTTATTTGTGTATGATGCTACGCTGGGCTACAAAGTAAACTGTAGTCGCGCGCACACTGGTAATGGCTAAAAAAGTTCGATAACTGACTTTCTCGGTAACACTCAAGATCAAAACAAGCCATTCGGATCCACGTGGCTTGATGAACACATACTTGTGTTGTCACCACCTTGCGACTCGACTACGAAACACATCGTCCTCACTAAAAAAATACTCAGAAGAGAATCGTGACGTTCGAGTAGGGTTAGAAACATGACTGACCACCAATACCAACACCGACAATGCGATATTTGTTCTACACCACAGTCGCCGTGGACGTGGGGGCCTTGCCCCTGTCTTGCTCATCGCGTGTGCTGTGACCGGCATCGCACTCAGCTTTGATCTCGTCTTCACACCTGAGATGCATAACGCTTTGCCTACTACGACGGCCCAACTTTGCACGGACCTTTTTCGTACAATTTCCAGGTTGTTCTGAGTCCCGACCGTGTGTGGATAATTTGCCCCAAGCTTCCTCGTACGGATTGAGAGGGCCCTCTCGAATAGTGGGATTGCCGTCTTGTACTCCTCCTGTGGACGTTTAAGATTTAGAGTTGAGAGGCTAGGTCCACTGCGCAAAGCTCAGACGTGAACACGACTCGGCGAAAATATCCATTCGTTCCCCAAGTAGTGCATATACAAGCACGTGGGTTGGAAACAACAAAATATTTCGCATTGATGGATCCTACGAAATTGTAAGGGAATCATTCGGCTCTCGTGTGGTCTGTGACCGCTCGTCTAGTGGCTCGGCTTCAGCATACTTGCCCTGCATAGCAGGCAGTGGGGTGTTGTGAGGGACCGGTCGACTGAGAACTAAAAAGGGCTCCGGTTGATGAGCACTACGATATCTACAGGTCACCATAGTAATTTTCTTGAACATTTCTGACGGCTCTCACCTGATCCGGTAACAATCGCTGCCTGGTTCTTAAGCACCTACGACATCTATCGGACACCTACAAAAGTTATTTTCGGGAGACTCTCACCTGCTTGTAAAACAACGCCGCCCGGTTGTTGAGCCATGTGGCAAGATCTGGGTGGTCAGGGCCCAGAGTCTTCTCCCCAATCTCAATAGCTCGCAGATAGAGAGGGTCGGCTTCGTCGTACTTGCCCTGTGCAGGAAGTATGGGATGGTGTCAGGAGGTGGTTCACCGAGAACTGAAACCATTGATCAACAAATGTAGACCCTACGAAAATTCTTGGAAAATTCTGACGGCCCTCACCTGTGCCTTCAACAACCCTGCCCGGTTGTTGAGTCGAGTAGCAAGATCTGGGTGGTCAGGGCCAAGCGTTTTCTCTCCAATCTCAATAGCTCGAAGGTAGAGAGGATCCGCTTCAGCGTACTTGCCCTGGAACATGAAATGGAAGCCCGAGAGGAGCATGGTCAAGGCTTGGCTAGAGCTAAGTGCGGAGGAACAAATGCTCAACAACCCCGGTTGTAGAGCAACGACTGCCCACCACAAGAATTTTCTACGACAAATGTTCTTGACTCTTCCTGTCCACATGAAAATTCTTGGAAAATTCTCAAGGATTTCACCTACGCTCTCAACAACTCCGCCCGGTTGTTGAGCGACGTTGCCACCTCTTCATGCTCCGGGCCGTGCACCTTCTCTCGTATGGCCTGTGACCGCTCGTACAGTGGCTCTGCATCGGCAAACTTGCCCTGTTGAACTAGCAGAGTGGGTTTGTGTAAAACGGCGGTCCACCGAGATGCGCAAATACAACCGATCATGTACACCCTGCAATTTTCCAGAAAACAGTTGACTCTCATCTGAATCTCCATGAACCAGTTACCTGACTACTTTTCAGACAAAACCACTTGAGCTGGGCTGTCTGATTCGCTGCAACCACACAGACAAGCTGAAAGCCCACCTGGAGTTCCAACAATCTCCCCGCAGCCCAGTTCGTAAAGGCTACATCTGCTGTCGGTTCGCTCTCCTCCAATGCCTCAGGCTGACCCCGTACGTGCCTACCTCCAGCTGCTGGTCGCCAGACAGGTCCTCCACTGACTTCCACAGAGCCATGAGGGCGTAGAACCCCCGCAACACCTCACCAGCCCGTGCGTATCCCTCGAGCACGGATATCGTGCCTAGGTACTGCGCTTGGCGAGACGTGACGAGCTGCACCCGCCTCCCCAGCTTCCTTAGCTCGTCTTTCGCAAAATCGAGCACCAGGTCGTGCAGGTGGTAGCTCTGTTCCACGACCTTTACGAGGGACTTGTCCACCAGGTCGCTCAATAACAACGCGGTGTCGCTAGGGTCCTGTGTGTACAATTAGGAACAACGGACACCCCACGTCAAGGAAAGTGTCGCTGATTAGGGGCAAAACACATCCCGCCCACCGTGCACCTACCTGTTCCCAGAGATGAGCTACCATGTCGACTGGGGCACGTACCCCCCGCGCCAGCACACCAAGCTTGCGGAACCGCGCCCTGGCCTTCTCGCTGAGCTCACGAAAGCTGACGGCGAGGGCACCTCCAACATGGTCTTGCACCAGGCTTGGTTCTTCGACTAGCCGCGCGTGCACACCGCGCCATGTCTCGGGGGAGTGTGGGTTCACTCGCGAGCTACCCATGGCACCGATGATGGCGATGGCAAGCGGGAGAAAGCCGCAGTCATCGGCAACCTGTAGGGGATAGTTCACAATCGACGCGGCGCAGAAAATGATCAAAACGATGCAGCTTGCGGTCCAAGGGTCTCTACCGCGAAGCAATAAATAAACATGTGCGGAAGAAAAATATTTCGCAAAAACAATCTACCTCCAGGCCCTCGTCCCTCGGGATACTTGAAGTTGCCCGACTCGCTTTCTTGAGGAGTTCCAGTGCCTCGGCTTCCGTTAGCATGTCCACCGGCGTGCACGTTCCCCACAGGTGGCGAGGGACCATTGCTACATCGCGCGTCGTCACCAAGCAGCGAAACCCTGTACGGAGGAACAGCGGGACCATTTCACGGTCCCATACATTATCCAGCACTACCAGGCATCGCAGATTACCCTGCTCCAGAACGCCCACAAGATGGCTGACGACGTGCTCGACGTCCCTGAACTCGTGCGGGACCGTGCGTGGTCGATTAGAGGGCGCATGCGCAAGGTCTTCCGCCAAGCCCTTCAACAGGGCGGTTGGATTGCCCGTACCAACTTGGCCTACTTGCACCCAGAATATCCCGTCCTTGAAGCTGCGGCGCACATTCTCGCAGCGCACCACTGAACTGGCGGCGACGGTCTTGCCCCCCCCGGGTATGCCACGGAGGACGTCAGCAGTATCGGTCGCCCGCTCCGCCGCCGCGAGGTCTTGCGCCACAGCTTCGACGAGCCCGCTTCGCTCCACAAACGCCGGCGGCAGAGCTGGAGCATTGTGGGGTATCTTGGCCATTTCGCCCGTTTTCGGCGGACGAGCAGCTCGAAACTCCGCGGAAACCCACAGGATAGTCACCCCTTGGATATCATTCCAAATGCTCCGGAGCTTCGCGTCGAAGTCTTGGATCTGTTTCCCGTCCCTCGCAAAGCAGAGTAGCGCCGCGCACTTCCGCCTTGTCGCCAACCTTTTCGCACGCTTCGCCAGTTGGTTTGTGGTGGAAACAAAGTCCCTGAGGGGCTTCATGACTGGCGCGAGAGCGTCCACCTCCTTCCCGTGCTGGAGCAAGACATCGGTCAGGAAGGCACACCACGCGATGAGTTCCCTCAGATTCTCATCTGCCTCCGCCGCCCCCTCCGCCGCCTGGATCAGCCCCTTGAAGGCCTCGCAGATGGGCATGAGAGGCCCAACACTTGCGACGTTTAGGAGCCCTACGACCCCTGATGCCATCCACGCCAACGCTTCCCCGACGTCCTCTGGACAACCGTTCGCCCACTCGCCGTGAAGAAACGCAGGCCATTTCTTCCTGCCCTCGAGATGCCGCTGGACCTCTTCAAGTCTCTGTGAGATTAAGAGGAGTGCAAGGGAACGTGAGGCTTACCACAAGAGGCAGGGTCCACGGCACCAAGTTCAAGCTCAGAACAAGGGGCTAAAAAAAAACCTATCGTTATGGGCTCCGCAGCTCCTCCCGAATGAACGCTTCCACCACTGTAGGGCGCTCGCGCTTCCATAGTGTCCAGAGGCAAAGTGGGTATTCCCCTACAACGAACCACGTTTGGTTGACGCCGGAACGGAATGGAATTTCGTGAGCAATGGTGGGATTCAGTTGAGAATTCCGTCTGCTGCGAGGTCAGATGTAAAAAATCTTGCCCTCGCACGTGCGTCGCGGCAGCTCTCGGTGATTGACACAGACAAATATACATGTACACAGAGCACACAATCAAGGTTACTGGCTGGCACTGCTGCTGTACGAAGGAGTGTGGCCACGTGGCCGAATGGCAAAAATAAAGGGTTCAATGTGGGGCATATTGAACAGCGTCAATCGTCATAAGAGGGCTTGTTTATGTTCCAGATGCGACAACACAACACGACTTCCGTGGCAAAGAAAAAAGGTCCGGTGAGCAAATGCGAAACAAGTCAGCAAAAAAAAACAGCGACTGCAAACAAACCAGCTTATCGGGCAACGCGCGATACTTCACAGGGGATGCAGCCCGCCTCTTGTCTCGTATACGTGTGACCTCTCTACGACACATTGGGGCTGCGCGGCACGTGCGAGCAACAGGTTTCTGGGAGTGCGGGGAAAATCCTCCGCAACTTTTTGGCTGTCATCTCTCACCTGACAACCCGCTCGATTTTCATGCACGGTCGACGCGCGGTGGAGCTGGACCCTGTCGTTCGTGAGTACGTTGAACACGCTGGCTACTGCTGTTGTCTACCTCGATGTGCGCCATTGTGCAAAGACACAAATATCGAAGGGGCACCGCAGAATTGTACAACATACACCCCAATGCAACACTTGACCGGGTCGTGAGGTCACCCGGGTTGCACGCGGTGGAAAAAGCAAAAAAAAAGGCCCCACGGGGCTCCGTACATGGTAGCTCAGCAGACACGGTACCCGGGAAGGGGCCAGCACAAAAAAACTCGCCGCGCCATGCGCGCATGCCACGAGAGCATTACCTTTGGGGCCAGAGTTCTCAGCACACACAGCCCGGACCGCGACAAAGCCTACGGAGTACAGGAAGGAGATCACGTTGAACCTCGGTGAGTGGTTGGTATGTCCTCGTTATTCTCTTGGAGCGCGTAAGGTGGAGTGCTTTCGTCAAGAGTTTTTTCCGGCACCCTCCGTAAATGACAGCAGCGCCGTCGCACGAGAAGGTCATCTTCAGACGCTAGGTCGGCCCCGAGGAACGAACGAAATCGACTGGCGATTTCGTTCCCCAGTAGGAATGTGACAAAAGAAGCCTCCAGGGGTTGCCCTAATTTTGGATCGCCACTACCTGTGCCGTAGTCGCGACGAATTGAACACCATGTTCGTGCGGTGTATCTTGCGGATTCTCCACCCCCTGCGTCGGGTCTCGTGTGTTTGTAGTGAGGGGTAAGGCGGTTGTCACGATGACACCAGCGGAGCTCACTCGCACTATGTAAAACTGAGCCTTGGGCCATGTCTAGCAATAGTTCACCACTATCAGCATCGCATAAACCATGGGCCGTCCCTGCTGTATTTCCATTTGGCAGGAATGTTCTCGCCGAGAGCGGCGGCGACC